TCTTTCCATATAGAAAGGGAAGAGGAATCGATGATGCCTCAAAAATCAATTCGTATCTCGTTGAAACTAGATTTTCAGCCTTCACGATACACAAGAGAATTTAAGGTTTTTTTTAACAAAATAAAATCCTTTGAAATGTAAGGTGAATAAAAACGACTTGAATGAACTTTAGAAAAAAGATAGAACAGTAAATGAAAGGAATACTTTTATATATAATATCAGGCACTGAAATCTTATTATTGAGAGATAACATATTTATATATTTTTTCATTTATCTTTTTTATTTATTTACTTTTGTGTGTGCGAGTAAGGTACAGAAGCATTACTGTGACTGACATGAACTGTTTGATAAAATATGAGAATGGTACATTTCGGTCCGAAAGATTATTTTTTGTATCTGCTATAATATTTTTTGTACGAGTGAACTTTTCGATCAGAAGTTATTTAGCAAAATTTATGGAATAACATGCTTGCATTAATTACTACACTTCCTATAAACGGTTCTGTAAATGACTCAGCCTCTTTTTAGGCCCTCCATTTTTCTGTTCAGCATCTGATCCTGACATTATGCACAGATGAGATGCAGAAATAGGGTCAATACACAAGGTAGACAATAAAGAAATTTCATTGTATTTGAAATTAAAAGCCGTTTACATAAGAAACGGAATCAATTTAAAGCTCAAAACAAAGTTATTTTTGAGAATGAAACTAAATATTTCAAGCTGCAGCGTTTCAGCGCAATGTTTTGTAAATTTTTTTAACTGTGTGTGAACTCAAACCGAGACCTATGTGTAACTTCACCCACCAGCGTTGGAATTCGACGAATGGGCGTTTTCCCTTAGGAAGTCCACCACGAAGGCATCCCTCCCCTTAGGCTTAGGCAGATAGCCCTCGTGTGCTTTGCCGTGATCATGTATACCAAGCCATATTATGCGTAACTTCTTGGGGAACTCTTCGTAAACGTAGCACGCAAACACGTTAATGAAGAAATCCAAATCTTTATGCCGTCCGAATGCTCAAAATTTATTTGCAATTTAAAATTGGGCAAAACAACAGTCTTATTTTGTCCCAAGGGACATCAAGCATATATCCCTCTTCTCCAGGAGCAAAACAGATCTGCCATTCTATGAGCCAGAATTTCTTAATCGCTCTCGAAATCTTAATTTTATTCAAAATCTGTGCTACAATAAGGTTGCTAATTTGTGAAATTTAAAATTTTGCATTAGTATGTTTCTCTTCCAGTTTGCTTGCAATATTTATCTGTTTGTTTGAAAAATTTATTAATACTAAGCCCCTTTCACAAACGCCTGCTGTTTTTTGTTGAAATGAAGGTATGTTTGATTAATTTTTTTAAAATTTTTATTCAAAATAGTGATTAATATTCATATCCTATTTCTTTAAACACATTTTCTGCACAATTTGAACAATATCAGTCATTTTCAGGTTTCGAAACTAGGTAAAAAGAAGTAAACGTAGTAATCTGTATATTTCTAATAAATTATGTGAATTTTTAATTCAAGTGTATTTTTCGCCTGAGGCAGAGGGGCTTATATCTGATCTTCCTCGAAATCGAGAAAGTTTAATTCTCTTCAAAGTCTCTGTCAAACTAAGGTCCCACTTTTGGCCTAAAATTCACATTTTGCACTGGCGTTTTTATCTTCTATTTAATTTGTAGTTATTCAAATTTCTTGCCACTCTTTGTCTGTTAACAATTCTTTTAAATTCTGCCATACTCGTGTCTGAAATAGAGTGATTTTATTCGATTTTATTTAGAAAATATCCAAAAGAATTTCTTTCTCCAAAGTCGATGAATATTTAAGTGGCTTTGACACCTTTTTTTATATCGGCAGTAATTGAATATTCGAAGACTTTCCTCCCTGTGTGTAAAAATATATTTCACTACATTAAAAATAAGCCTATTAGTTCTACAATGGCTCCAGCAAGAAAGACAGGATAGCTGGGAATGCTTTTCGTCCATCTGTGGGCCTTACCAATGGCCGATGTTTAAGACCTCTGAGTACCAGTAGATCGAATCCGGCCGAACAAACTTTTGCAAAAATACTTTTTGTGGTTTACTTTTTGTGTAAAGTAAATACGAGACAGTTTTGCATACGTAACAAGTGATCCACAAAAGCACCATTTCCCTTAGGCAGATAGTGCTTCTGCACTTTATTGCATTCTAATAACCTATTAACAGCACGTCTGAATCCCCCCCCCAACGTCTGAAATTTAGCATATGTTTATTCACGAATTCTCCTTGTTTTTCTCTTTGGATTTTATTAATCGTTGCAGATCGGTAGAGTTCACTTACACTAATATCGACATATAGTTAAATGTAACTTTTCTATTTGTTCACATTTTTCAAATATACTGCATTTCGTTATTTACTCATAGAGCTTAGAATGAGATCCTTATATGACCAAGGCAAACACATAAGGATTTGACCTCCTGAAATAATATTGAATAATATTGTGAATAATGTTGTAGCAATTAAATTATGTTGTAAATTCTTCATCAAAATTTCATTTCATACAAGCATCTTCAAAAGCTTTTCTGCCTCAGCTGCTACTTAAACTATCAGATAAGCACGGTCTTTTGCTTCGTCGTTGAAAAGTGACCTAGTTTTAAACTTCGTGGTTCTTCATGTTTCCATACCGGGTAACATCAGAGTTGATTTCTCTCTTTTTCCACTCAAAGAAATTTGATAATGTCAAAACTGATATTTAAACTATGATATGGTTGACAAAACTCACTCCTACCTGGGTTTGGCTTTAGTTTTCTTCATAGCAGTTTTTTTAAATAATTTAAATAAAATATTCATTAGAGCTGTGTACTGAGACTATAAGCAAAATATAAGCTTTGAGAGATGCTAAAAGGAGAGGGTCAAAGAATGCAGCTGATATGTGAGCAGGTAATGTTGCAAATACCGTATTTTCTGAAAATAAGCCATCCTCGAAAATAAGCCCTATCGTGATTTTCGGAACTTTTTGTAATATAATTTGTTTTTGTATATAATTCAGAATTTTATTTATGACGATGTTCCAGAAGAAGATGACATGACTGTAATTGAATAAATTTAAATTTCTGTATTCTGTGTAAAATAAATATTAAATAAAAATATATAAATGTCCTTTTATTTTTGCCCTCCCCCGAAAATAAGCCCTAGCGCGTATTTTGGACTAAAAAAGAAAGTAAGGCAGTGTCTTAGTTTCGGAAAAATACGGTATCCCTGGGTAAACGCTGATAGCTTTCAAAGCAAGAAAAAGGAATGAATCACAAGAAAACTTTCTAATGTCATTCTAATTTGATTCTAATTTGATTCTAATTTGATTTCTAATGTCATTCTTTCTTCGATTATATAACCTCATAAAAAAGGAAAGAAAACATCTCGTGAATTAATACTTATTAGATTGCTTCGATTAAATAGTCTCAGAAAAAGAAAAATATATCTCCTGAATTAAGGCATGATGTTAACAGCTGTCTGCTATCATTTTTGCAAGAAGATTCAATGAAAACGAATAACTTGGAAGAGTTACTTTCAAGAAAATATTCCTACGTAAGGGGGCCTAACTTATTATATGATGTAGAGTTTGTTAGAAAATATAGAAAATATGGGGCACTACAGTAATTGGTGAAAGTACTCTGGACAAATGAAATCAAATTTCGACGTTTTGTTGAACCTATGCAATAGTATGTTAGATGAAAGTAAAATCCAAAGCATAATAAAAAAAGTCTAGACCCCGTTAAAGGAAATACAAGAGTGGTAAATGTCTTGTGTGGGGATTGTCTGGTAATGACGAAAAGTAACACAAAAAACCTGATCAACTAATATATCATCAAATATCTATGTACTTTACAAGCTACTCCATTTTTCTTTCGAAATGAAAGCATTAGATGCATACTTTTAAAACTAAAATAATTTCTGAGCTAAATTCTTTATAAAACAGCATATAACGTTTGTTTAGATCTGGTCATTTGGAAAGGCATTATTAATAAAGCACTAAAATTTTAGTTACTTACAAAACACATTCTAACAAAAATTTTTAAAGTTTAGGAAAGTTGATTTTCTTCTTGATTTCGACATACTGAAAATTTTGCCCTGGTATGATGATTTTGAAAGTTGTTTCAAAACTTTGTACATCTAAGCTTGGATGATCCTCTTTCGTGAAATTTTTGTGAATGATGACATACTGGGTGAAACACTTTTGCACTTATACGTTGAGCCTGGATAAACTGAAAAACAAAAAACAGTATGAATGTTTATGAAAAATGATTATGATTATCACAATTAGCTGGGTAGTAGAATGTTAAAAGTATAGTGGGAAATAATGAATTCAGATACAGTGTTAAAGATAAAAGTAATAAAGTGTGAGATAAAATTTAAAAAATAAAATAAAGATATTTTAAATTACCCAAACTATGAAAGTGTTTCTTATAAACAAGCAGTTATCTGCTTAACTCATTCATCCTCCTGCACAGTTCTACAATCTGTCGATTGATAGGTTTCACTTAAACTCTATGTCTTCTGCTAAACTTAGCAACATTAATGCATTCCTCATAAGTATATTAGTTATATTCTCCGCTTTATTTACATCATAACTATTGAAATAAACATAAGTGAGCGAATCCTTTTAGAAATTCTTACATGAAGGAGTCATTTCCAAAGAAAAATCCTTTTCTTTTTATTCCGTAGAATAAATATCTAACTCAAATTTCAGCTTTATATGAAGACATATTTTCCCAAAATACTTTCTGTTGTCGAGTGCGCATTATCTTAATAATCACATAATTAGTTACATAATTAATACGTGCATTATCTTGATATCAAGTAAAATTTTTATATGTAATTAATATAGAGAAAGATGTGATTTAAATATTGGCTTTTATTTTATTTTGGTATGTTTAATCGTTCACAGGTATTTTAAATAGTGGCAAAATGTTTAAATTTGTAGCTAATATTGTTTATGACGCCTGACGTACTCTTCTTTTTCTCTTTGCATGAACCCTTGCTTATGTATATTCCGGTGGCTCTACGAGCTGGGAAGACTGGTGGACATACGATGGCATATCAGGTAAGTTTCATTTCCTCCACTTTAAATCTTAACATAATAACTTGCTAATGTTAGTAATTATTCACAAAAAAGTGAAGAACAAATTGTATGGCATACAAAAAAAGAAGGTCACAGGAAAAGTATGACATAAGATATGTAGGTGTTTATAAAAGGTGCAATATATAACTAATAAAATTTATTATTCCCATTTTCTATGTAAACTATGTGATGTTTTGTAGTCCCCGTAAGCCTAGAATGAAAATATATGTAATATAAGTAAAACATTCTGCGTAACGCAAATCCGAAAAACGAAGATAAAACTTGGAGTTACACGGAAAGTAATAATCTGACATAAACGTTTCAGTTTAAAACTAGGCGAAATTGCAAAAATATTTTGGCGCAGATTTGAATAAAACTCTATGCATTTCGAGGAAAATAGGCAAAATCAGGATGAGTGACGACAGTACTTATATTGAAATAATGAAATAAGTACGATGAACATAAAGATACGCCGTCTGTTGAGGACAGTAACAATGAAATATGAAAAATTCATATTAGATTTGTAAAAGTTGTACGAAGCGATGGACTGAACTGAAGATCATACATTAAAGAATATAAAGACTTCTAAATGTAAAAATCTTCCGTTAAGGCCAATCCATTAACTGACAAAATATTATGAATAACTTTCGCAGAACCTAAATCCGAATTATGTGTTATCGCTATGTAAAGATGGTCATAAAAATATCCTCTGTATATAAGCTTCTAACGGCCTATCCGCTTAACCAATCGAAACAAATATTGTTATTTGAAGGTAAGCGCTTCAGATCGTTTAAAAATAGATCTCTCACGGTTACGATGTCATTGAAGATATTTCAAAATTTCCGAATGGCGCCATCCACCTTTCTCCACCAAAAGTTGATTAGCATATTAAAAAAAAACCTAAATTGTTTTGGAACGATACAGTTATGGTGTAAATCATTTGCAAAGAATTTGTAAAGGACCAATGACAACAGAAGATAGGAAAGGGGGGGGAATTATTAAAATTACAAGTTTTCAACACGGCCACCTTCACAGATGATAACGCATTACATGCGGCAGAATGTTAACAACAATGACGAAAATAATATCAGAGGAGGAATCTGTATACCTTCACGTTTTATGGCATCTTTCAATTTTGACAAATCTCAGGGACTAGATGTGTACAACTTAGGTTTTAGATATCAGAAACAGAAATAAATCCATCGAAATGCGGTCGGAGGATCGTGGTGGCCAAGAAACTGCAATTTTATTGTGTGTTGAATTTATCTTGGAAAGTTGTACATTTTGTAAGGTTATCATGGTGTATTAAAATGTCTCTTTTGATAATTTTCGACTGGGAATTTTTCTTGCATTCATTTAACTTTTCTGCCGCGAAGTACGCTTTTTATATGCTCATTTATCCGTATTTAAGCATTTCCCGAGCTTTCGGGATAGTTGAGCATTTATTGTATTATCATGTCTTTAATGTCTACGAAAATATTTGGGTGTTCTATGCGAAATGCATTTTTATTTTTTTTCTTAAATTTCACGTAATTTAAATGTAATAGTTTAATACTCAAGCTCTTTACAAATAAGGTAGCAGTCTTTATAATTATAGACAGGAGATTTCGTCTCCAATCCATTTCCCGAGTTTTCTGAATAGCCAAGCTTTTACCATAATATGCAGTTAAAAATATATTCTTATCAGTTTAATTTTTTTAATTTCTTTATTTGTTTATCAAAAAAATTAGCAGATAATTTTAATTAATAGCAATGAAGGATTTGGGCTTGCCAAAATTCAAATGAAAAGGATTATATTAAAATGATTTTGCAATGGAAATATGTACAAAAAAAGCGCAACTTATTTAAGTGAACTTACATAATGTATCTTAAATGAAGCTTAAAGAATTTGATTATAATTAACTACAATGTTTTATAGGCCGAAATTTTGTGCAAGTATTTTCTTGACCTAGAGCTTATAGAAAGAAAAAAAAAAGAATACTCTTAAAGCGAGTCAAATTCCTGATAGAAAGTTTGCCTTTGGTGACTAGAATTTTTTTTTAAATTTCTTTATTTGTTGTTTATCAAAAAATTTAGCAGATAATTTAAATTAATAGCGTTTTTTCTCATTGTGTAGAACCAAATTCCTTTTTTTTCTCTCGAATCAATTTAAAGTGAAAACTGCAGTTTTGTCAAAAATTTTTGACAGGGGTTACGATAAAGTATTCACAATTTTGGAAATACAACAGTACTCAGAAGTACATATTGCTGTAATATAAAAATTATATTAGTAATTTTTAAATCAGTGCAAACTGGACCTGAAAATATGCAAAATCTAACTAGTGACCACGCAGCGATATTTTGAAGATCTCATGAAATTTAAAAATAATGTCATCAGAAAGTTTGTCATTGAGCTCAAAAACTACATTTTTAATAATGTTTATGGTTTATCTATGAAATATCAGCAGCTTACAATTTGTTACCAATAAGCATTTCCGATGACTAGATTCAAATGTTTTTATTTTGGAGAAAAATTGAAAGTATAACATTGAAAGAATTATGATCGTAAGACATGGTACTTATGCTGAGGAAATACACTGAGTTACTGCCGTACATACGATCTGCACGTATATCAATAAAATAAAAGAATTTGCAAATTTTGATAAATAAATTCAGAATCCTTCCGAGATAGCAAAAGGTAGTATCGCAGCATCGATCAAAAAAAAACAAAAATGGCACTGTAGAGTAAAATTAATACTGTAGAGTAAAAATAGAAGTAAACCAAGTAAAATAAAAGCAAAACAAAGCATTACATTTCCTTGGAGATGGGGTGGATGTCACAAGAAGTGCACCGTTTTTGAACTATTTTATGAATATTTAATTCCTGCAGCCTTTAGTGCGTTGTTCACTTCCTATGAGATTTCCTTTGAGATAAAAAGCACTCTTGTCGTTAGTCCACATACCTTGAGAGCAAATATGTACATCGGACTTGTGATAGTATGGGTTGTGCTACCATTCTTGAGTAATATTCCAGAGAGCATTTTTCATTCAGGATAATGTTTTTTCTAATACCCATACTGTCACCCAACGTGCTGTTCAGAGTGTCGACATACTGCCTTGGCCTGCGAGGTCATCTAGATTTCTCTTATGTATGGGACATGACTGGACGATGAATACAGCGTAATTCACAACCATTCCGTATTGTAGCTGATTTGAACAGCAAAATGCAACAGGCATAGAGCTCCATCCCACAAAATGACATACAGCACATGTACTACAAATAGTATGTGCGACTACATGCTTGAATTCAACATTGTGACAGCACAGCGGTTATGTCACCCATTTCACATTTAAGATGGCTGTTCTCGCACATACATTAATGTGTGACTTTAAAACATTAATTAAATATCTTATCTATACGAATGATTTTGCTATATTTCATTTCTCTAATCTGATTTCTTCTTAGTATTGCAATTTCACTTTCCAGCAGTGTATACATATAAAACTGTCTTCAGTTATTTTAAGAATGTTCATGTTAGTTCCTTCCGTTTTCAAAACAGCTTGCAATTTCACACGGTATTAAGTCAACCACCACCATATTATTATCACCAACCTATTACGTTTCTCTGATAATTTCTTATGCGTTCGTCGACCAGTAGGATATTCTTTAATTTGTATCCCTGTTTCTAAATTTACTACTTTTACTGTGATTTCATAGTAATATTATTCTATGTTTACTGCAAAACCAAATAAGATGCAAGATCAGATTAATAAAATTAATGCCCATTCATGCAAGAAACCGAAATTTCGAAATAAACGTGACTGGTTACAATAAACATCAAACATGAAATGAATATCCTTTTAACTACTTAGACATTTATGTTTCATATATTACGAGTTAAGTAAAGAGGAAATGGAAAATAAAAATTAGTATCATCAGAGGCTGTTATGAATAATTTTAAAGAGTGTTTATTTGAAAGAGCTATATACTGTCTTCATGAAGCTAATTTTTATTTTATAGCACACATTAGAACCATAACTGATAGGTTTGCTTAGTACATATAGTATTTTATTTTGATAATGAAGTTAGATATTTAGGTATTCTCAATAACATTCCATGTCTTATCATATAGGTGGTCACAATAATATTTCATGTCGTAATCGGATTAGAGAGATTAGAGAAATTATTGTAATTATCAATATGTGTGTGTACTATAGCGGTATTTCTCAATGTTCTATCGACGTTCTGTTTGAAGCTGGTAACTTTCTCATGTGGTCATCTTAGAGACATGATTTCCTACAGAAGGTTTACTGTATATATTTTGTTATGAAAGGAGATATCTCATAAATACACTCATGTCCATAAATTAAAGATAATTTGGAGTCACGCAGAAATCGAACTCTAAAATAAATATATCACATGTAAAATCACTACACACATCTTCAAGAATCATATGCAAATTTCAGGAAGTAACCAGATGACAACGATGGTACGTCACAAGGACGAGAGTGTAAGAGAGTGATATATAAGGAATACAGACAAAGAAGTAAAATTGTTCGCAGACGCTTTATAAGCATTTCAGTGCAATAACCGAATAGTTATGACACAAAGGACGCATTTGGATGATTTTTTACGTGGTAGAATTATCGGCCGTCTGGAATGCGGGCGTACCCAACTGGAAGTATCAGACGAACTTGGAATTGCCCAAAGTGTTATCTCCAGGCTTTGGCAACGATTCCAAGATGATGGTAATGTGAGTAGACATTACAGCACAGGTCGCCTCAGAGTTACAACGCCGAACGGGGACCGGTATTTGGCAGTTACTGACAAAAGAAACAGCCGAGCACAGCCTGAGACCTGTCTCGTCAGCTCTCTTCAGCCACTGGTACGACAATTTCAAGGCAGACAGTGTACAGACGCTTAGGGCAGATTGGTCTATATGCTCGTAGACCTGTCAGATGCGTTCCACTTACTGCAACTCACTGTCGCCTGCGGTTAGTCT